GAAATACCCACGGACTGGGCAGGGGGAGGGGGGGGCACCTGCGCCCACCCCGACCCGGCCCGCTGCCACCCAAAGGCCCGTATTGGCGCGCCGGAGCTGTTTGGCGCCGTTTCCATAGCGTCTGCGCGTGCCGTGTGTGGGGCGCCGACCCTCAGACAGGGAGCCGACCACAGCTGCGCCAACATCGCCGCTCATCCAGCGGACATGGGCTCCGGATCGGTACGGCTTGTGTGACCTGTGACCTGACCTGTGACCTGACCTGTGACCTGACCTAGCCCGCACCGACTGGCGTGTGCAGCGTGGTGTGCTGTGGCGACCGCGACCTGACGTGCGTGCAGATACTTGACACTGACCGTTTTGTTTGCTCTGCCGTCGCGGAATGCTGCGTGTGCGTGTGCCGTGTGTTTGAGGAATTTGTTTGTTTTACAGTTACTCAAGTTGAATTGCAGTGACGCGTGTTTATGGTGTGACTATCATTCAGTTTATGAGTGTTTGCTTTACTGAAATGTTTGTGAGCTTCATTGCTTTTCGATGAAAAGACACGCGTGGAAAATTATGCGTATCGATTAGATATAACAGTAAGGTGTGCTGGTCGATTGAAACTGACAGCTTAAAAGTGCACTGCAAATATCTTCTCAACGTCTTTAAATGACGCTTGTTCTATTGTCCAAGAATAAGTTTTCAATTGGTACCCGTTAACACTTGCATGACCTGACCACACACGGGCGTGTTTTCAGAGTAAATCAAAGTCGCCGGCGCCCCCGAAGGCGGCGGCGGCGGCCAAGCCCGCGCGACAGACGCTCTCACCATCGAGAGGAGGAAAGGGAGGCGGCTCCCGACGACCCTCGGTCAATGGCGGGTCACGGCGGTCATCGGTCAAGGTACGGGTGACCGGAGACCATCGGTCAAGGAATGGGTGACCGGAGACCATCGGTCAAGGTATGGGTGACCGGAGACCATCGGTCAAGGTACGGGTGACCGGAGACCATCGGTCAAGGTACGGGTGACCGGAGACCATCGGTCAAGGTATGGGTGACCGGAGACCATCGGTCAAGGTACGGGTGACCGGAGACCATCGGTCAAGGTACGGGTGACCGGAGACCATCGGTCAAGGTATGGATGACCGCTGACCGTCCTGACGCCGGGACGGCCATGGGTAACAGCAAAGTTGGGTACCGCTATAGTAAGTGACCTTGGGCGTTTGTCGGTGTGCTTAATTTCATCTTCTTATGCTACTACGCTCGTGAATACCTGCGCTAAGAACACAGACACTCATCAGCCGCGTTTACTTATTGTCGATTTACACGTATATCATCAAGTGCTTGTGGTTATCCTACCTTCCTTTATTTTTTTTTTTGCAACAATATATATAATTGATGTACCATAATTCTACACTTTTTGTGGGATAATTACCTTATGTTAAAAGAATCTGACCAAGCGATTCTTCCAATAAAATTTCTCACTTACAGTTTGTTAATTAATGGAAAACGAGGGTTGCATGTCATCGCAAAGTAGGTTACAGCTCCGATTTCCGGTTGCATGCTGTATAAGTAGATACGCCAGCTCATCAGGGCATTTAAGGAAATCCTTAGCGGGAGGAAATTCCCTGCCATTATTCGTCTCATGACCTTTAAAAAGTTTCGAAATGCACGCATAATGACAGCAAACGTGAACCCTGTGACGTTCGCTAAAACACTTGCAACGTAAATGCAGTTAAGCATAACACAAACCTACAATATTTCTCACCAAAATAGTATATGGTCATTTTAGTCAGGCTACCCTGCAGCAGTTCATAATGAATGCGATCGTATGAAATCGTATTGCATCGTAAAAAATTGGTCAGAGATTATAGTGGCGTCTGGCTATTGGCTGAAATGTGACGCGATCCCCGTTATCGTACTGTTTGCCCCGTACTCCGGGGAGGGAGGGAGGGGGTTTATCGCGTGACTGACGCTCCTCCGTCTGGGTGAGTCATGCTATTCGCGGAACGGTGTCAGTCCGCTACCGGGATTTGGAGAGTGACGTATGGCGTGCCAAATTTCAGACAGGACGGTAAGGTGTGCATGAATGAATACGGCTTAGGTAACGTCAAACGCATTAAAAGTTCATTATGAACGTCTGCTGGTCAACATAGGTAAGGAGACTGTCTGTGTTTACATACAGCCCCTTCCAGGAAATTCCTGAAAACGGAGTTTGTTCCGACACATATAAAAGCTGGGCCGCCCTTCAGTTTATATAATCATGCATAAAATGTAAAACCATTTCACCTCTAGAAATAGCGATAAAACAATAGCATCGCCTGATCAGATACCGTACTTGCCAGTGATACTTGCTTGCATAATGTCGATTCATGAATATGTTGCACGATGAATTATTCATGTGTTCGCCTTCTGCTCCTCAACCAGGCACCAGCACATCATTACAGGGAAACCTCATCACATATATTTGACCAGGCCTGCATTCCGTTCCAGCCGTCAAACCCGGAATGTATTACAATACAGCCGTCTGACTCGGCCTGTATTCCGTCCCAGCCGTCTGACCCGGCCTGTATTCCATCTGACCCGGCCTGTATTCCGTCCCACCCGTCTGACCCGGCCTGTATTCCGTCCCAGCCGTCTGTCCCGGCCTGTATTCCATCTGACCCGTCTGTATTCCGTTCCAGCCGTCTGACGCCCCGCGGCCGCCACCGACCGACCCCAACATGGCCCAGTGCCCCATCTGCACGCGCTCGTTCGCCAAAGACCGGCTGGAGAAGCACCAGGAGATCTGCGAGAAGAGCCACGCCAAGAAACGGAAGGTGTTCGACCCGGTCAAGATGCGGGTATCGGGCACGGAGTCGGAGCAGTATCTGAAGAAAATTAAACAGGGCGGCGACAAACAGCAGAAGGTGAGCTTTACCTGTAATGTGAGAAAAGAAAGAAAATGATATATGAGTAAAATTATTTCTTATACAGAGGCCAGTTTTACCAACAGAAAATAGCCGGCTGCCGGAATTTTTGGTCTAAGGATCGCTTCCATACGGAGCGTAAACGCGATGGGCACGTAAGCGGATAGGGCTTTACCGTTTACGCTCCGTATGTGAAGCGGTCCTTAGACAAAAAATTATGGCAGGTGGCTATTTTTCTGTTGGTAAAACTGGCCTCAGAGCATTTATTACTCGCAGAGAGTCGCCCAGCGAGGCTCAAGGGCCCTCGGTATGTAATAGTGTAATGCGGTACAGCCTGCCCTTGCAGGCGTTCACTGCTAACGCCATCTATGAACAGGATTATAAGTATACGGCCGTTACGGCCTGCCGTGGCCGGCTGGCGGCAGGTAAACGGGAGGGCCAGTTATAGGTACATTACCTACAGACGTCGTTGTTTGTATTACGTGTTTATATACCGTTTAAACGTCACGTGAGCCAGCTAAGTTCCGAATAACCGCTTTGTGATCTCTTTAACATTTCTGTGTTGACGTCACATGACGTTTTATTCCGATAGCCGTTGACCTTTGCTACCGTTTTCTCTAACACTAGAATCGCTACCGACAGTCGCCAAAGAAGGTGGACTGGCGGAAGCAGCACGAAGAATTCGTCGCCAACATCCGAGCGGCGAAGATGGCGCAGGCGCATGTAGACGCCGGCGGAAGTCTGGCCGACCTTCCGCCTCCGCCGCCCTCCGAAAACCCCGACTACGTGCAGTGTCCGCACTGCGAGCGACGCTTTAACGAGGCGGCGGCCGAGCGGCACATCCCCAAGTGTTCGTCCATCTCCAGCAACAAGGGTCCGCCGGGCAAACAGGGCGGGAAGAGGGGCGGCCGGAGGTAGACGTGGAGGGGAAGGTGGCAGAGGGCGGCAGTTTCTGCAGGCAGGGGTGAGGAGCCGATGGCCAGTATTAGGAGAGAAATGGACGAGGGGCTAAAGTTTAGGGGATTTAAAGGGATGAAGGCAAGGATAGAAGGTCAGTTGGTAGTGGTTACTGGCTACTGCGACCGATGTAATCAAGGCCTGAAATAGGGGTAAAGACGGCGAACCGTCGGCAGAGCTGAGCTGGCGATAGGCTGATAGTCACCAAGGGAAGCCATTCAATGATGGAGTGAAGGATGTTGTTGTTTGGGGAGATAGGTAGAAACAAATTCGGAGACGGAAGGGGGGGGGGGGGGCGGTAAGAGGGGCGGATAAGAGCTATCGGTGCCGAGGTGACGCTATCGAACAGGGAAGCGGCAGCTGGCGATGCCGTTCAGACGTGTCACTACTGTCACTGCGGTCCGTGACCTACTATGGGTGAGGGCAAAAGGGGACAATAGTATCAGTCAAATGAGACTGATGACTGATGAGGGCAGGGGTGATCACAATCCGTCTGCGCCCACAAGTTTGAGAGCACCGTTTATTTTAGGTACTTTTTTGTCGTAGAATCGTGAGATTTGCAACTGATGTGCACTGTATATTGATATTTCTGCGCAGTAGTTCTAATTTAGACGTTTGTTTATAGAAATGTCGCTAAATTGCGATATTGTGGATCAGTTTTGATACTCCGACGTGTGATCTTCAGTTGAGCACCATCGCTAATCGAAATGTCGTGCCTATGCTGTTCTGTGATACATATCCTACTCATATATCAGCTGAGCACGGTCCTTTAGTCCGTTTGCGAGGGCGTGCCGCAGTGTTGTTTGCATTACAGGCGCAGTGTGATATTATGAATGAGAGTGTGTGTGAATGTGGTACAGGTACATGTGATTCAGCGTACACCGTACCCATGGCAATCACAGTATCCATTGCAATACTTTGCAGTCAGGAAGGTGCTGAATTCATCAGTACGTTGCATCAGTATCATGAGATGCCGCTGTACGTATCAGAAAGTGCAGCGAAGATAAATGAATGATGATAGGGAAAATAATAAAAGGATCACCTACCCACGCGAAAGACGTTTTGTTATGCTGGAAAAAAGAACGTACCAGTGACTGTCGGTACTCGGTAGTCCTCCACATAACAGTCGCACGGAGCAAACCTGCAAACAGGTATATTTATTTTTCAAACATCATTCAAGTTACATGAAAACGGGAACATTTGACCAACCCTGAACTCGACCGCACGTCAAACATAACGCCCCTCACTCCCGCCTGTGAACGAACACTACCAAGGTACGTGAAAGAGCAGCTGAGAGACTCGAGACGGAACATCAACCGACAACTTCTGAGCTTTCATTAAACCAGTAACTCGACCAGCAGTGAACTCACTCGCGTACAGCCGAACGGAGGCACCAAGATACACCCGAAACACACACGGACCGAGCGGATCCGTCCTTTGAGAGACACTATCGGATGTAGCGCCGGCGCCACGCTACAGGTCACACAGTTTGTGCCGAACAGCGTCACACAGGGGGAGACATCACTGGGATCCGAAACGTAACGTCTGAGCTGCGAGGCGACGTCATGTCAAGTCCCACAGCCGGTGGAGTCAGCCCTCTGGCGAACGACTAACCCTGAAACTGTCTGCATCGCTGAGGTGATTTACGCGTGCAGACTGACAGTTTGGGTTGTGAGCATCACACGTTCCGAAACACGTATCAGCAAGCGCTCATTCAAAGTCTCATCTCAGATTCCATGCAAAGCATGCCCATCTCGGACTTCTTGTCACCATGTCCTCCCGCTATCGTCTCTAGTTTCTGCGGTACGGGATATCCAACTCCCTACACAGCCGTCTCACACCCGGTTACGGCTCGTCCAGCTCACAGCGCCCCGTCTGCTGGAAAGGCTTGTGCGCCGCCTCGGGCACATCTCGCGCGATGCTCGGCGGTAGCAGGTGCCGCAGTTTGTTGTGTCGCTCCGGCGTCATGTTGAACGCCAGCAGGCACTTTTTGAGCCAGCAGGCGCGACAGCGCGCCTCGGCAGAGTGTCGCGGCGCCACGGCCGGAATATGGCACCGCCCCAGCCCGAGGAGGCACTGTACCGACTGGTGGGGCATCAGACGGCTGACAAACTTACGGCACGGTTCACAGGCGTAGGAGCCGTCCAGCTTGCAGCTGGCTGTGTGGGTGTAGTACTTGGTGCCGCCACACACGCCACACGTGACGAACCCGGGGGACGGCGGACCGGTCGGCTCCGAGCTGCGGCAGGGGGACGGGGGGGGGGGGGACGAAGGGTGAGAGTCGGACGCTGAACGGTACGACAGCTGGGTGTCATACATACAGACCAATTCACGTGCAGATGCTTCGAATCAGCTTAAAGATGATGCGTGTCTTATGCGGGATCTCTGCGTGCCCGTGTCAAAGCTACTTCAAAGATCTAATTAGGCATCGATCAGCTGTTCGCTGAAAGTTCTAAAACATGTTTCCATACCACAAACTCCTTTTATCGAGGCTGTCAAACACTCATCCTCACAACAACCTCCACGTCCACTTATGACTGTGAAAAATATGACCCTCACCTTCCAGCCTTCCAAACAGTCTGCGTCCCGCCTGGTACCTACCTGGGGGCCGGCGGCGAGTGCGGCCGGCGCTGCGGTGGTGCGTGGTGCATCCGCTGCTGCTGTGCCGAGCGGGACAGCTTCAGCTTCATCGGCGCCACAGAGCGGACTGCGAACGTGTTGTCGCCGCCGCCGGCGCCCCTGCCGGCCGCGGGGGGCGGCGCCGCGCCCGACTGACGGTTCTTCAGGTTATCCTGCCACGGGATATATTGAGGTCAGTGTTAGAGCTTTACTTAGAGCTTTACTTTTGGCTTGTGGAGCTCTAGAGCTGCACACACCTTTTCTCCACAGTTTGGGTTTCATAAAAACAGGAGTAGAATGTTTTAATTAACTAAATGTTTTAGCGTGTTGGTCGACATCATATGACAGACGCAAAAAGGATACCGGCTACGTCCTATGCTATATCAGCATTTAAACAATTAAAACAGCATCTGCATCAGTACCTCATTAGCAGCAGGCGTACAGAACTACAGACACAAGCTCGCGTGTCCAATTTGAAGCATTAACACCCACCCACTAGACACCAATAGCACCAGGTGAGCTCGCTATTTAATACCCCGCCACCAGCTGCCATTCCTCCGCCCACGGCGACCACCCCAGCGGCAGCTGCTCCCGCTGCCGGTCATTGACCCACCTGGAACTTATTCCACGCCTTGCGCGCGTGCTCCGGGTGGAACTGCTTGAGGTGGTTCAGCACCGACTTGGGGTCGCGGAACTTGGAGTGGCACACACGGCATACGTATGCCTCCTTCTTTCCTGTAACGACACAACAGCGACGAGACCGTGATAAGATGGCCAGAATCATCAGAATGTATCCAATGGACACTGGGAGAGGAAACTTTTCACCATTTGGATATCAAGCATTGATCAGACGGATCTTATTAGCACATGCTACTCAAAATACGCTAGCTAAAATGTTACAAAGGTTCTGTCACACAGCTTAATCTTCAACTGCGTATATCATGATATTTCACAGCAGCAGAATATGCTTGATGAGAAAGGACACGAAAATGTATATTTAGCCTCCGTTCATCAGAAACGAACGTGTTGCCCGGTACCAAACATTGACCTACGTCATGAAAACTGAATGATACTCAGGCTGTCGCAAATCAATGGCCTGTGGAGTGACATCAGCTACAGTAGTCAAATACTTGAACTGTCCGGAAGGCAAGACATTTGACCCAGAAACACCACTAAAATATTCACCCTAACAGCGCACTGTCCTCACTGAAGTGAAACCAAGGACGCTGTGTCGCACGTTACATAAACCCATAACACTGCGGCGTAGAAGTTGGTAGAACATTCTCAGAACAAACACACGCTATTGTACATTGACATGTGCCCCCTCCCTGACCCGTGCGTTTCCCGCTCACCATTGGGCGGTGCGGGCCGGCGGGCCTGGGCGGCCGCTGGGGAGGCTTTGGGCGGTGGCGGCCGGGGTGCCGGGGCTGCCGGCGGCGGACGGTGGGACACGGGCCGGGAGTGAGGCGGGCTGGGCCAGCGGCGAGCCGGCTCCTCCGGCTCGTCAGAGTCCTCCGAACTGGTGTCCTCCAGGCGGCGCACTCGGTCGTTCTGCGAGAGGAAGGAGAAAGGCTGGTCATGCGGCGTGTCGGATCATCGTTTGATGCTAGGGATGCTCAATTGTCAGGGTTACTATCGCTATACATATTTATCTCTTGCATGTTATAGCGTTTAACTGATATATTCGGTACGACTGAACACGAAAATATCGGTAAAACGTTAGCTGAGCAGAGGTATGCTGAAACACTCTCTGGCAGCGTCACATTCACATGGTTGTTTCATATCCTTGTAAAAGTCATCAAAAGGCTAACAACCCTACATCCCCGCCCACATCAGAACCACAACTCACTGGAGACAGCACCCAGCGCAGCCCTCAATCCCCCACGTACCTTGGATGGCCGCACCAGCAGCGGCGGCACCTTCTGCCTCTCGAGCCGCTCGCGCTCCTCCTCCAGCTCTCTGCGCCGCTCCTGGCGCTCTCTCCGCTCCTCCTCACAAGGGTGTCTGTCCAGCTCGCGCTGAGTCAGGTACGAGAGTCCGCAGCGCCGGCAGACGAAGAGCCGCGCGCAGTGGGCGGCGGCGCCGTGCAGCCGCAGCGCCGCCACAGAGGGACACACGGCGTGACAGAGCACGCAGGTGAACCTGGCGCAGAGGGCGGTAACGTCAGTATAGGGGGACGACGGACACACGGCCTGACAGAGGACACGGGTGAGCCTGGGGCAGAGGGCGGCACTGTCAGCATGTGGGGAAATAAGGCACCATCAATTCAGTATACGGGGAGAGACAGACACACATCACCATCAGTATACAGGGACAGACGGATAACAGAGGGACATACGGCACCCTCACTATACGGGACAGCAAGGGACACACTGCACCGTCAGTATACGGGCACCGCCACACAGTGTGGATAGAACTGTCACAATCACTCAGCCTCGATACAACACCACCCAGTCCGTCCCCCGCGGCTCACTTGGGTCCAGCGCCGGCCTCCTGTGTGGCAGTGGCCGCCAGCAGGTGCAGGGCGCTGGTGGCAGGGTCGGCGGGTATCGCCGGAGTGACCGACTCCGATCGGGACCCCAGCAGCTGTGACGCGTCCCGCTTCTTGTAAAAGTCGGCCAGGTTCACAACCACCACCTGATGGCGAGCCAGGAGGGGTATGGGGTCGTACCTAAGACATTAACTAATGTTCGTGAAACATCAACCTATTCTCCTGATATCCCCAGGTAGTATTAACGTATTAACAACACTCGCCCACCTTTAAACCTCATAATTCCATTTTTACCGTTCACTTGCGGTAAAACCCGTGCAAATTACCGGTAAAAACGACGATAAAATATCAAGAGCCACGCTGTAGGCATCGTACCTGCGAGCCCACATCGATTTCGACGCTCCTGTTGACAGCGTCGATGCCGATCTTGGGGATCCACTCGTCGATGGGCGGCGGCTCGGTGGGCGCCCCGTCGTTTTCGATGAAGGGCGTCACCACGTCCAGCAGGTGGTCCATGTAGCCGGGGCCGTGGTCGGTAGAGAGCCGTTCCAGGCGGCGCGCCTGGCCCGCCGACAGGCTGACCGTCACCTCCGACATCTCCATGGTGGTGCCGCCTGGCCTGACAGCAAGAATGGGTGGAGCACAAGGTCAATCAAAGCCATAAGTTATTTTGGACCATAAGATGGACCATAAGTTATTTTGGGTACCTATATCCTTATCCATTAGTCTTAGCATAACTGGGGTATATATTCCATAATCCATGATGAAAATGACTGGGGGACATGTAATTTCATTTATCTTGAAGTCCCCAATGATGTCACATGTCAGGTCACAAAGTAAGAATTATCAACAGTTAGGAACTACACATTTTTACACATCTGGCTCTGGCTGCCGCCAAGTCACATCAATTCCAAAACACTCATCATCATAACTGTATGCTGAATGCTGATGATACCCTGTGGGTACCAAACTTGTACTTGGTGTTTTAGGTCAAAGCCTGATCAGTTTAGGTCACAAGTGGTCATGGAGATTTTAACTAGGCTTGTACAGGTAGTGAAGTGCATTTTATATGGCCCATTTTGACTGTATACCTAATTTGGAGGTCTAAAACTAATTTCAGCTGGATATGGTATCGTGAGGTTGAGGTTATAGTCAGGTCAAAAAAGATGAAATTTTGGTTGATTTATCACAACAAAAAGGTGCTCATCCAATTTTATTATTGCTGAGGATCATGATTGCACAATCTCTTTTGGTGTTTAATGTCTAAAACATACTAGAAGTTACATTTTATGTATTTTAATAGTAAATCATAAAAATAGAAAGGCAGACTTGTCAATTTTTCTGTAATATTGGGCCAAAAAACAGTATGTCATAAGTGTGTGTTTTATAACTATGACTATTACATATGTTCCTTTCTAACTCAAAAACCTTTAGGTACCTACCTAAAAGCTTTGAAATATAATTTTTGTGATTGTACCTATGGATGTAATTTCCTAAAATTGTCAAAGTTTAGAAAATCCCCTCTCATGCAAAGTAATCAGTGCTAAGTCAAAAGCTGACCTCAAGAGTGATTGCCATAAACCCATGTTTCAATTTTGCATCAAAATCATACAAGCCTGACAACAACTGAGCAACATTTCTGGCCAACCTATGACAACTACAAATTTTCCTCTGGTCAAAATGTGTCAAATTTATGCAGCCAAAGGTAGGTAATGAAAGTTTTGTGATGAAACATTCAACAGTTGTGAAGATCAGATAACATTCAGACAGACAGTAACGTTAACGATCAGACAGATCAAAATCATTAACCAGAAATCAGGGCCCTATTCCACGGGTGTTGCGCAAGCTGACATAATGTGATGACGTTATTACTGCTGACGTAAGGGGCAATTCTGGCATACAATTGCTGCAATATTGTTTGACGTCATCAACTAAATGTTCGAGGTTTACATCCGAATTTTCCTTAAACCAAACTTCCTTCAAATGCATTACATTAAGAAACATCTTTTATTGATAAATATACTATGACTGCGTAAACTCTTACTTTTAGGCTAATAACCGCGTCACTAAATGTTGATGCCAAGGCCACAGCAATCGTGTGCCGGAACTGCCCATCACGTTAACAGTATGGCGTCATGACTCATGACATTATGTCAACTCACGAAACGTGACAGGCCCAGAAAAGACTCGAGTCCTTCAGAGCCAAAAAGGGTGGCCGGGCCATAACAACTTATGGATTCAATCAAGGACAAACCAGCATGGCTGCCTCCCAATAATTTTTTGTTTGTTTCTCCCAACACACCAAAATAAATAAAAATATGCATAGCCCGACCTCAATGTTAACTATCGTGACACGTCGTAACCTTCGACCCAATGCAGAAGAAAACGATTATCTTATCTGACGATTTCCATTCCCAGAGAGTCAAACACCAATAATTGTCAATTACTAATGTTTATATGCAATTGGTATGTGCATATACGTCGCGAGAAACCATGGGAACTCACCCACCACGGTGACTAGTGACTATAAATATCACCCACCATTGCCACCAACACGATCACAAACAAATCTGCAAATCTGGCAGCACTAAAATTTGCCGTTGAATCGTTGAAGTATTTTTTGAAGTATTTGTTATGCGGAATAAAATAATTTTTAAGGTCAGATGATGTTACAAAAACTATTATTTTAAATATTCATATTTTCTATTTAACGGTTAAAGAATAATTTAAAAAAAAATTAATAAAAAAGCAAAAACAAAAAATAAATCATTTATATTCTTCAAGAATAGAGTTTTCCTTTCCCAAAGGGAAAAGTTTCCCTTTTTCCCTTGAAAAACAATTCTGGCGCAGAGCCAAAGCAGAGCCAAGAGAAACACGTGCTCCCCGTGCTCCGCGTGGTCCTTGAAAAAAAGAAGTTGAAAGAAGTGAGACTCAGACGGTGTGTCTTTTCGATTGGTATTTGGTATATGCCGGATATCTACGTGAATTTTTGAGGCTTTGGGTATTTTCAAATTGTGATCTGGTGAGTGAAGTTTCTTGTTTCTATGTCGAAATATTGTCTGGTCTGGGAATTGGGATTGAATAGTCACCTTACAGAAGATGCAGCAACCTCTTGGCTTTTCGGGTCATATGTTAAAAATGTTGTATTTTTCATGTGCACTAAAAAGCAGTAATCTATCCAGACGCACTTTCAACTGACAGCGCACAGAATATTGTCCCATTTTTAGTGAACACCCTATATACGAACTGACCTGACCCTGGCTGGCTAAAAAATTAACTGAGATTCTGGGCTGAACTGTCAACCCAGACTGGAAATAATACACAATATGCCGAACATGTCCGGCGTAGTGGCGGGATTGCGCCGAAAATTAAAGCGCACGTCCGGCGTAACTTCGTATGCGCCGAATTCAGCGCATGGCGGCGGACAAATTTTTCGGCGCAGGGCGGTCGCATAATTTTTTGGCGAAAGACGGTCACTGAATGTATGCGGTACGCTGGTCAATCTAGCAGCAGATTTGCCCCGCGGGCGGCTCTGGAGAGGTTTCGCGACGATACATCCCCGCCCCGGTTGTCGCGTGCTCGAACTGGTGAGCCGCTCGAACTCAGCGGAGAAGCGGCTGCCCTGGGCCCTGTTCGCTTGCTGTTTTGATATCAGCGTGCTGTCGGTTTTCCCCATATAAGGAAGTTATTGCTGGCGCGGCTTGGCCTCTCATTGGTCTAACAAATAGACCACTTGAATTCGACCAATGAGGAGCCAAGAAGTAGCAGCATGGTCGCAGCCTGCTGATAAATAAATGGGGTGCGAACAGAGCTCTGGTGAGGCCTCAACCCTCGGCGTGGAGATAGGTATGGAAGACCTTGTTGAACATCGCCAAGCGTCGTTAAGCAATACTGCAGTGGGTTCCTGCCCACTGCGGTATCGAGGGAAATGAGAGCGCGGACGACCTGGCAAAACAGGCGGCCGCCCTGCCCTCAAACGCCCACTTGCTGACCAGGGTGGTTCACTGTGCGGCCTCGCATCAATGGCGCAAGAACTGCTCAGAATCACTATTCAAGCCACTCCTCGGGAGTCGGGAGGACGTCGCCGCTCCCTATCCCCGGAGCGGACCGAGAGCATGCCGTTTCGGTGCACCAGATGAGGGCAGGCCACTGGGGCCGCTCGCTCCAATACGGCACCGAATCGGCTGTCTCCACTCCGCGGCGTGCCAGCAGTGCCCAGACAAGCGGTGTCCCGTGGCGCAGAGTGTGCCGAGAAGAGGGTGATGTGCCAGAGCACATGTTGCTCCGCCGATATTAATATCGGCACAAATTTGTGGCCCCGGAACTCACGGCTCCAGCTTTGTTTCACGGCATGAAGCTAAAGTGCGCTAAGACTATTGAGGCATTGGGTTTCTGTGGAAATGAAAAACTCATTCGGATGCTCAAACATGGGAGAGCATACAAGGCCCCGGAACACTCTGTCTGGTTCATGTAGCCTTGATCGGTAGATGTGCACATGTGCTTTATATAAAAAGGGCTTAATTTTCGCATAAATAGGCATCTAATTTTTGTCGCAAATCACACAGAAATTTCAGCGCAAAATCGGTTGCGCCGAATTTCGGCGCAAGAGGGTCTCACGGGCGTCCGGCGTAGTGTATGGATGTTTTCCAGTCTGGCTGTCAACTCCAATCAACTGGAACTGACTCCACAGCCATGTGGTCTGGAGACTGGAGTCATCGCTTGATGTGTCGCAGGGACTGACTCCAACTCTGACCCTGGCTACAAAAAGAAAAAAAATACTCGTAACTTCTCAGACTCTGGACAGAACTGTTGACTCCAATGACTGACTGACTCCATAGCCCTGATCACAGTTTTGTCAAAGAAAAAAAAATGTGGAACACAATGGACTGCATTGTGACCAGAAAAGTGTTCAAGAAAATGGGCTGCAAAACAATGCCTATGTAATGGCTATGCCTGTGCTATCTGCTATACGTAACTTGCACTTTTCTTGGTGGCTCGGGGGTTATGACTGCTACATGTTTATGCTAGCAGTGAACATTGATATGTCGCCTCGTATTCGTAAAGCCGCAAACGTGCCAATGACAGACGTGCGTAGTCTTGTCAGGGCCCAGGGGCCATACATACATACGTTGACGTTGACGAACCAGGCGCCCTTTGCGGGGCACGGGCCCAGGGGACGGCCAGACGGGTCGGCCGCGGGGCGTAATTTTCCCAGTCAGCTGATCCAGACCGGTGTCAGGTGGCGTCTGGGCTGGCTGCGGCGGTGACGGCAGAGAGGGAGATAGGGGGGGGGGGGGCGGAACGGTCGCCTGCGACGACCCGGGGCCGGGGCCGGGCAGAGGCCGGCGCGCTGCGGGGTCGAAGATGGGAGCGATGACGCACGAACAGTCGGTCGTCCATCATGAACTCGCGACGGGTACTGGTAACCATTTGCCGAAGGCGTTGGAGATTGCTGTAACGTTGGCCCAGTCGTCGGGCTGAACGCCTGTCAGCTGCGGTGTGATTGGCACATGTGGCACGCTCCCTCACCACACATGCTCAAATTTCCATTCCAATACGTGACTCCTTGCGAGACATTTCATCCGACTGATGCCGGGATGACCATCTACAATGACCGGCACCCCACCGACCGTAGCCATCTTGCAAGCTGGGCTTAACCCTCGCATGTGTAGGGGGGGGGGGGTCGGATGGACCCCCCCATGGTTTTTCGCAAATAACTCGCGTAAAAAGCGGCCGATCGCGACGAAACTTTCAGTACCCTCGCATTGATCAATTTTACACCTACCCTGAAAATTTCATGACCCTGACCCAAATGACCTTTGACCTGTGACCTCTTTTCCGAGACCATGTTTGGCCGGAATCGCGATTTCGCGTATGTCGGCTCGCACTAGCCGCGTGTTTGCAAGCTTTTCGTGGTTTCCAACGTTCAAACATGTGATTTGATGTTACTCCCGTGTGTGTCAAGGTCACCTGAAGGTCAGGTCAGGTCATTGACCTTTGGTGACCTCGGGTGACCTCGGGTCACTTTTTCGAGTTTTACATGTTTCTAGGCTAGTTTTTGGAGCTGAATTCGAATTTAGCAACCATTTGAACATTTACGAAGTAGTTTTGGTGACTTCGTAACATGTTACGAAGCTGTCAGAGGCGGTTGACACGTACTACGAATACCCGTCACGACGCCTAATGGTTGACCTGACCTGACCTGACCCGACCTGGTCTAAATGCTTTAAGACATCATCTGTGATCAAAACTAACACGATATTCGTGATCAGCACCCCGAAAAACCTCTTAGCAGCCACACTTTACGACTTTCTAACAGGTCCCGATTTTCCCGACTTTGGGTCATTGACCTGACCTGGAAGGTCAACCAATGACCTAGGACCTTAAAATTGGGTATCATCGGCTTCCTCTCGTCACGGGCAACACGCTCGTTTTTTCCGCGAAGCTCTAGCTCGATCAGGGACCAAACGACAAGGGGGGGGTCCAACCGACCCCCCCCCCCCTACACATTAGAAGCTGGCAAACGCCGCACACATGCGAGGGTTAAGGCGACGGTGATGATATCGCTCAAACTCATTTCCGAGTGATGGCACAGTCCACTGCCAGTCAGCGTCGAACCCATGACTGAATGGCATTGGGGTCGTTTGCAGCGCTGACAGAATTCACATCCACTGACTTATTTGAACGATTCTTTGATATTTTTATAGCTTTTTATAGGGTGCATTCGCTAATTCGAGCCCATATAAACGTAAAGCTGCTATTTTGGCTTTTCCCCTTCCTCCTATTGGTGTCACCAGTGCTTGAAACCTTGCCATGAAGGTTTCAAGCACTACCTGTAAATAGACGTACCTATAAATAATGAAATATAAAGTATGCTTGAATAGTGGTTTCTCGATATACACTGGCTAGGGCCTGGGCATTCTTTCCGCATCATTTTCATCCTGTAAAGGGCTTCCATTTCCACCGGTAAAGATGTTCACTCCGCCAAAGCGCACGTGTGACTTAAGTGGCACGTACAGGCACGTGCATTTTTTTTCTGCTGAAACTTTTGAGCTCAATATCAATACAAGCTTCATGCGATTGTTTCAGTCAAGTTTCAGTTTTTGAATTAATTAGCTCATGTCATATTCGAAGCTGACATTTGCATCAAATCTTTGGTTAATAAGTAGAACAAACGAATGCTTTGGCTTGTTTCATGAAATAACCTAGAACTATTGGTTTTTTTCAGGAGTAATTTTGGAAATGGAAGCTGACTACACAACAGCCCTGGCTCACCTGGTTCAGAGGCAATGTGGTGAAGAAACATTTGCAACGTCACTTGACATTCTATTGGAGCAATACAGCAACAAGACAAACTATGAAGACAAGAGTGCTGTGGTGATAGGTATGGATTACATGCTAGACTCAGGTAATTTACATGACCTGAAGCCTGATCTAGTCTCAAAGATAGTCTCCCAAGTATGCATGCCTCAGATGGTTTCAGTGCTGAGCACGATCCAAGAATCCGAAGGAGAGTACACTGCTGGGGCCATTTCAGAGTGCACCATCTCTATCCTGGAGAAGTGTCTGCTGGTTTGTGATTGTGACAAACTCAAGACCGAGCTGCTGGAAAGGGCTGTGGCAGTGCTGTCGGCGGTCTTTGTCTCCAGTGACGGTTCGTACGCCTCTGAGCCGTGGTCACGGGGCCTGCGCTGTGTCTCCAGACTGGCGGCCGCCGCGGTCAGTTCGCTCTCGGACGTTTCGTTGCAGCCCCACCTGCCGGCTCTGGCTGCCGTGCTATCCGGTCTGGTGAGAAGCGCCCGGCCGGCCGCCGCGCTGGCCGGGGTCGCCACACTCGGGCCGCTGCTGCTCTCGCGGCCGGAGTTCCGTGCCGCCCACGCCGCCCACCTGTGGACGCTGTTGCGGCCGGCCGACGCCGCCGACCTGGCCCGCTGTCTTGCGGCCGCCTGTGCGCTGGCCGATCACCTGCTCTCGCCGCCGCCGGGGCTGCTCTGGCCGCTGCTGGGCGCCGGGCTGACCGCCGACGATCCGCTGCAGAGGAAACGGGCGCGCTACTTGCTGCAGCGAGCCGTGGAGACGCGCCGCGCCGCCGGAGAGGACAGTCTCTGCCGCTGGTTGCCGTGGAGCTCTGCCGCCGCCCGCCGCGCCGCGCCACTCTGGGACGATCTGGCGTTGTTGCTGGAGACCCTGGAGGGGAAGCAGGTGCACCTGATACGGCCGGTGATGGCCAAGCTGGATACCCTTCTGGCCAACACCGAGCTGGTGCCACTCTTCTGGAGTCTGTGCGTGCTGCGACGCGCGTTCGGCCACGGTAACGCGTTCGTGGTGCGCTGGGGCGTTTTACGGGCCCTCCGTTTGCCTCCTGTGGACGAAATCGAAACGTTCGTCACCTCAGCACTGGTGCCGGCGCTCAACGATGCAGCGCTGTTTGCTGATGTGGATCTCCACGCTGTACTGTCATCCTGGGAGCCGGCGGAGGCGGGACGTGAGTACCAGTGTGACGCTATGCCGCCCCCGACTGAGACCGGTGGCCAGCTGAGGACTTTCCTTTGCGCCTACCTGAGCGGTGAGGCGGTGGAGCGCCGGGCCGCCGCGCTAACGGACGCAGTGGCCGGCCAGTCGTGGTCGTCTGTGGCGCTGCTGCACGTGGCCCACGCGCTCGCCGCCGTGCCGGCCGGCCGGTGTCTGGACGCGGCGCCGGCGCTGACGCTGTGCCGCTCTCTGTCTGAGCGGCTGGCGGCTCAGGAGGCCGTGCTGCGCCTGGCCTCTCGCCGCCTCCTGCTGCGTGTGGCGCTCGGCTGGCTCCGGACTGACGCGCCGGTACTAGAGTGTGCCGTGGCGGCGGCGGCGGCGGCGGCTGACGGTACGGCTGCGCCCGCTGGACTGGCCGCTCCCGAACCCGCTGCCCTCCAGGTAGAGGTGATGGCAGCGCTGGCGGCGGAGCGGAGCCCCGTGCGTGGCAGGCTGCTCGGCGGCGCGTTGCGGATCCTGGAGGCTACGCTGCCACTGACGGCGGACCACCCAGTCCTTCCGCCGCTACACGCCGCGCTGGTGGAGTGTCACACGGACTTATACCGACCACGGAACGCTGTCGTCAGTGACATGGCCCTGCTGGCTGCCCTGGTCGGGAAACCTGACGACAAACAGGCGCCCTCTGCTGCTGTCCGACAGCTGATCGGTGTGGTAATACCCTGTGTCGGGGAGTACATTGTGCGGCAGGTGGAGGCAGCAGCAACCGCCGAGGATCTGACACTCTGCGAGTTTTACTCCGAGTTGCTGCGCGCAGCTGCCGCGGTCGGCTGTAGGGTGGGGGTGGAGACTGTCGTCCACCGACTGTGCAGTGTTTCCACCAGTGCTCATCCGCTGCGGGTGCATGCGGCTGTAGTGACTCTCGCTGGTGTTGCTGGTGCACTGGTGTCAGCCGTCACCAGCACTAACCTCGGTGACTCCCTGGTGCCGCTGGCAGAGCTCGCCCGCCACGACTCCGTCCCAGCCGCACTGTCTGCCTGTTCGGGCGCCGGTACCTGCGACACGCCGCTGGCTGCCCGCCACTTTGAGGCCACCTGGCGACTCACTGAAGCCCTGCTCTCGGCCGGCCTCATGTCTGAGTCAGCCCGGCGGCGGGCGGCGCCGGGCGCAGTGTCAGCGCTGTCTGTGTGTCCGCGGCGCGGTCTGGAGCCACTGCTCGGCTGTCTGCCGACCCTACTGGCCGACTGTAGCCCAGAACTGCTCCGTGAGGCCGCCACCGCCGCCTGGACCGCCCTGCACGAGCACCGTCGCAGTGAGGTGTTCGTGCTCTCGCTGCCGGGCCTGTCACGTCTCGTGTTCACTGCTGACACACTCACCAACCCGGATCTGGCTGACCTGGTGCAAGACATGAGCGAGCGGCTGCTACAGCTCGTGGAGTCGGTTCCGGCCGCACTACTGGCTCTCATATCACAGCTGAACTTTGTGTGGTCGACGGACAGCAGCAGCCTGCCCCGCCACCTCCCGACCGTGACTGCCGCCCTCCTGCACGGCGCTGTCCACCGTCGCGACCGTCGTGCGCTCCAGGACACTGTCGGCTTCGTGAGCGGCCCGGCGGCGCCGTCGACCGCCGATCATCTGCTCGACAAGGCCGTACGCGCCGCTGGGGTGGCCGCCCTGGGGCTGCTACTGAAGAGAGGACGGGCGGCGGCGGTGGCGGAGCTGGCGGAGGAGCTGAGGTGCCGCGCCGACCGAGCCGGAGAGGGACGACACTTTGGCAACTCTGCCAGTCATCGAGTGCAGCAGCGGGCCTACCAGGCGCTGCTGGTACTGCACACGGCTCTGTCGCCGGTTAGTGGCGGGGAGGGGATGGGGGAGGCCGGGAGGGGCTACTAGCGGGCTCAAGCCCGGTTCCCACTGGGCCCGTCACCCTTCGAAACGGGCCCGTCGCCGTCACCGACCGTTTTGAAGGCCGCTTTTCCCAAGTTGAATATGGTAGCCATGAAACGGGCCATATGGTAGCACTTGCCGTGACAAAAACGGCGCGCGTGATTCGTTCTACGCGCAGTGTTGGGAAACGGGGAGGCCGGCTGGCCGGCGGCGGCTCGTTGTGGGGAGTCCGTCCCGGGTCCGGCGGGCCGTCCCGGACCACGCGGCGCGGCGGTGCCGCGTCTCGCTGTGGGGGTCTGTCCGAGCGGCCGCGTCCCCCTTACCGCCTTCCGGCGGAGAGCGGTCAGTTTGTCGAGAGGTTTGGTGCAGTGTGCACGTGAAACATACTGGACAACGACAGGTTTGCTTTAATTATTTCAAACACCTACTATCAAAATACTTTCCAGACAGGACCACACTTCAATCAAGTTGACTACCTAAAATACCATCACATTTCCATCCAAACCGCTAGATGATCAGTAATGTAATATTATGCTGAGGGGGGGGGGGGTATAATACTCCTGTTTGAGCTGTTAAATTTGAGCATTGTCCTCATGGCTAGACCGACATATGTAAGTACCAAAGCGGCGCAAGACCAGAGGAGTTAACGACAATTTCTCTTCAAAATGTGCGACATTCTACGCTATTTTACTGAAATTATCAGTTTTATATGTTTTACAGTCATCTACAACCTCGTTCATACCATACTCACACGTAAAATGAGAAGGAACACAGAAGCACCGACACGAAAAACGGGCCCGTTCCGCACCAAAACATGAATATTTTCATGTCTCCGAAACGGGCTCCGACGGCGACGGGCCCGTCGCAGTCAGCTGTTGCGCCCCGTCATGAGGCGTCGCCGCCCGGTTCCCACTGAGCCCGTCAGGGACGGGCCGTAAACGGGCCCGTCAACGGCGACGGGCCCGTTTCGACGGGTGACGGGCCCAGTGGGAACCGGGCTTTACCAGGCGCTGCTGGTACTGCACAGCAGTGTGCAGTGCACACTGCTCTGTCACCGGTTAGTGGCGGGGAGGGGATGGGGTGCCAGCGGGCCTACCAGGCTCTACTGGTGCTGCGCACGGTACTGCTTCGGTACCGAATCAGTGACGGTAGAGGGGAAGGGTAGGAATGATAATGAATACGGAGCCTGGATTTACTACTTTTACCTTAGCGTAATGCTGTATGGTTGATATTTTATCATTCTGCATTGCCTTTAACCCGCGCGGGGCTGGGGGGGGGGGGTAAATTTTACCCCCCCTCGCGAATTTTTGCGATATCTCAAAAACGGCGGCGCGCAGCGCCGCCAAACTTTCAGTACCTTTTCTTACATCAATTTGACACGTTCCCTGAAAATTTGAGCGAAATCCGTCGGAAAATTTTTGAGAAATTGACGTTTTAGTGACGTCATGTTCGCCATTTTCGCCTCAAAAACGGCAAAAGTTCAAACGCCGCTAACATCTTCATTTTTAAAGGAATCAAGACGTAACAAAAAAGGTTATACGTAATTTTACTTTGTCTATCAAATGGCTATCTCGGTTTTTTGAAAATTTTGGATTTTGGCCTAAATTTTTTCAAAAAACTGATTTTTTTGGGAAAATCATTATAAAATCCAAAATTTTGAGTCTATCGAAAAAACCGGAATATATGTCAGAGAAGTGGTCTATGTGCACCTACATACCAAATTTTAGAAGAATCGGTTCAAAAATGTGGGAGTTATTCAAAATTTTATGACGTCACGACACACAAAATTTTTGAAAAATGACTTTTTTGGAAGTTCTAGACCTCGTACGGAAACAAAAATAGCACCATTCGATTCGCCGTGAAAAACTGCATCATATAGATACCTTTTTAGGCCTTAACAACCAACTTCAAAATTTGACCTCACTTGACCTGACCTTGACCTGACCTCGACCTGAAATTCATCCAGAGGTGGTCCATATCACTTATTGAGTGTGCCTATTGAATTCTATGAGTAAAATGACCCGTAAAACATGTGTCGCACATGCCCTTTTCTATATTTTGTTTTTTGGTGACCTGACCTGACCTGACCTGACCTTGACCTTGACCTCTGAATGATATTGTATGCAACGAATATTGTCTTGGTAGCCTAAGAACACGTTTTGGGCGATCAGTCTCAGTCCATGACTCCATTCTTCGGCAACTACGGTGCAAGGCCGATACTGTAGAAACTTGCAATTTGTACCCTTGACCTGACCTTGACCTTGACCTCAAACTTTAAATTAAGTACATGTTTTTAATAGTTCGTGATGAGAGCTTTCGATTGGCGTTTGAATTTTCCAAATCGGACCATTAGTTCGGGAGATAACAGGGGGGGGGGGTAAAATTTACCCCCCCCCCCCAGCCCCGCGCGTTCGGCTGGAGACCCCAGCCCCGCGCGGGTTAAAAGCTATGTTACCTGGGACAGGTTTTCTCGTTTTTAGTTCTACCGACCGCTCATCCACTTAATTTTATCTTGCTAGAAACATAGCTGCGTGAATTTCCATAACAGCACCTATTCTGACCTGACCTGACTCGACCTCTCTCCTCACAGGATGAGCGTGAGAAGCTGTGTATCTCCACGTGCGACCGGCTGCTGCGCTGTCACCCTCAGCCCAGTGTGCGGTACCTGCAGGAGTGGCTGGTGGTGCTGCTGTGCGTGCAACAGCCGCCGCTCATAGCACACGTCTGGGACCATATGGACAAGGTGAGGTGGCGACAAAACGGTTAATGAGTAGGGCCCAGGTGATGGACGGCGTTAGAGAGGCTGACTTGGTTTGATGTGATTGTTTTACCTGAAATGTTTCGATAGATGCTGTTCTGCTATGCTGTCTGTTAGCGAGCAAACGGCCGGCGCTCGACGCGGTCGGTCCGCCTCGCCAGCGCACATGTGTGTGCCATGTGGCCCCTGTCCTGGTTCTCATGCCCACATGTTGTGTCCCACGTGGGCTGAGACGGGACGGGGGCACGACAGTCTGGAACGGGGCTCCGCCGGTGCGCGACGGCCCGGTGTACATTGTACATACGACGTGGCCTGACGTGTACGAGTCATCGACGCGACTCCGCCGGCGTGCGACGTCGCCGACGCTGCCTGACGACATGTGACGAACGTGAGCGTATCGTTTTAACCGTTTGCTCTCTACCACAGGCGGGTGAGGGTCGAACCGGCAGTATCGGCTCGTTTGTCGCCATCCTGACGCACCTGGCCCAGTCGGGCGCGGCTACCCCCGGCTCTGGAGACAGCGGCGACTCGGCAGAGCAGTTTGTGCGACTCTGCTTCCGGCGCATTCTGCCCTGGTGCATGGCTCAGCATTTCAACACGCGAGTCTACGCCCAGGTGAGATTAGGTGGACGACGATCGAGTGTAACAAAGCTGGTGTTTGCATCTCTTTTTAGACGGCGTTTGCATCTCTGTGGCGTCACAGTGACGGGATATTGAGCGAGTGGCCCGTTTGAGGGGCGGTACCGTATTGTCTACGCTTGCGTGGGGTCCGCCGGGCTGAGCCCCCGGCAGTCTGTTTTGGATCGGCATCCATGACTGGGCAGTTTTCCATCTGGAATATCTGGAATATCTGGAATATATGTAGACCACTTCAGCTGTCGCTTCTGTGCTTTTAGATTATTTATCAACCGAAATACATTTAAGACCTTACCACTCCTGGTGTTCACTCGATGAATTGCGTCTGTTTCAGGCGGCGCTGCACCGTCTCTGGCTTTTGGCGGAGAAGCGCGCTATGACCGCCATCCTTTCCGAGTTTGAGGTAGTTCACGCCAGCGTATCCCAGTCTCTGGAGTACGGAAACGCCAACAAGAACTCGCAGCTGATTCTTAACGATTTCTACTTCACCGTGTTCGACCCGGTCCGGCACTTCTCTCTGGAGGTGAGCGTAGTTTGGCGGTGTTTCTGCGAGCTAACGATCACCAGACACCATACAAGTTCACGTGGGCTTAATTGGACTGAAAAAGGACCATCGCTTTCTCTCAAGCTTTTAATAAAATTAGAGCGGGAATCGGAGTCATTGCTGCTTTTGGCGTCCCAAGATGATGGGCTCGTCTTATATGCTGTTGCGGATGTCATTCGTCACTGTTCGGCTGTGACGTCTTTCCTGCTCATTGCAGAAACATCCTGCTCCAATTTGTGAACCAAAAACCGCGTCTTCTCTCATGTGCGGGGCTGCGGAGTCGATGGATTTTCGGCGAATCCGACTCCGACTCGGGACTCCGGCTTTCAAAAACCAACTCCGACTCCGACTCCGGGCAGAACTGTCGACTCCGACCGACTCCAACCCCCGACTCCGACTCCGCAGAGCTGATCATATGCTACTGGTATTTTAGCCAGTATTCACAGCTCTAACTCAGCGTTTCCCCGCTTGTTCTTATCTCAGGCGATCTACTGTTCTCTACCGCGGCTGGCGTCGGTGGAACAGGACGAGTGGGTGCCTCCGGAGCTATTCCCCGACCACCTTACCGAAGGGGCCGGGGATGGAGAGGAGGCACCGGCCGGTTCACTGCGTCTGAGCCGGCTCTGCCCCGGTCTGAGGGACGCCCAGCCAGCCAGCTGGACGGCGCGCACCGGCGACCTCAGGACGGCACCTGCAGGTAGGTCGGGTTAGAGCAGTGGACGGTGTCAATGGGTGCGGCATGGCAGAATACAGTGGTGTGGCGCCCGCTGCCCGCAGTTGAGCGAGGTTACAACAGGACCTCAGGATGGCGCCCGCGGGTAAGTTTGGTTAGAGCAGTGGTCAGTGGACTGCGTCATGAGTGCGTGCGAATTGTTAGAAATAAAATACTGAACGAGGACACAGGCAACTCCAAGGCGGTGTTTCACGGCCGCGCGCTGCTGTATTGGTGCGGCGTTTGAGACGAATTTGGTTCGACCCTTCAGCGTTGCGAGCGTCCTAGTTTGTTGATGTCTCCATGGAAACCGCGCCGCTGCTCGCTGCGCGCGGCCGTGGAACACCGCCCAGGACGACGCCCACAGGTACGAGAAGTTACAATAGGACCTCAGCACGGCGCCCGCAGGTACGAGTGGTTACAATAGGAGTTCCAGACGGCGGCTGCGGGAGGGTTAGGATAGAGCAGTGGATTTAGCTTGCAGGTACGGCAGGGTAGGATGGCGGATAGAGCCAGCAGGAATGGTTTAGCTGGATCTCAGGACGGTACCCGTGGGTAGGCTAGGTTAGAGCAATGGATCGAGCTTGCAGTTACGGCAAGTTAAAGACGACGCCCTGCACAGATAGGTCAGACTCACGACTAACAGAGCAGGGAGGCGCGGTACTTTAGAGAAGTTGGTTTAGAGCGTAGTTACACAGCGTCGCGCGACTTCGCTGAGGCACGCCTCTGATAAGCCCGGACTGGAGCCGCCCCTGCGCTGTGGCGCGCCTCTGGTTTGTCCGCACTGGGCTCGCCCGTGCGACCCGGCCGCGGGCGCGGGGCATTGGCGGAGCCGGCCGTCTGTGGTCGGCGCGGCCGGCCGGGCATTCGGTGTGCGGCGGCGGACCGGTACGGACTGTGCGGTTTATCGAGCAGTGTCGGAAGGAGTAACTAGGACCTTGGTATCAAAGTGGACCGAACGGAGCAGGTACGGGCTGCGGCATGTATATACAGTTCTTTGCCGATTGAATGGCGGATTTGTCGGTGGGTGGAATTCAATTACACTTCTTTGTGCTCTATTCTCCGTCACCGGATCTCAGTGATTCCCGTCTGACTCAGGTCCGGGTCAGCTGCAGCTTAGATAATGTCCGTGTCATGGACATGGTTGTGACTGCTGACTATGGTGCACCCGCAGATCGGTGGCATCGATTGGGCCGCTTGAATATGTGTTTTGATGAATATGAGACGAGATGAATATGAGCCGAGAGGGCATGACGAAAGATTTGCAAGTAAAAAGGTCAAGGTGTATGTTTACTGTTTGACATGCATGACCCAGCAGATTACTTGAGCTGCTCCGGTTGTCTCTCAATAGAGGAAAGACAATTCTAACGAATAGTGTTTGTCAATTTCGAACAAGCCGCGGCTCAAATATACATATACACGGAACGCCTCCGTGGAAGCGAAAGACAGAGGCACACCTTATGTTTGCTCATTCCTTTGAATATTGATGTAGTTGCATACATTACATACGCTGTTTGTGCTCACTACAAGTGTGCTGACTGGCGGCAGACTTTTATCACAAAACTAAGTGTGAGTATGACATGAGTCATGTCATACATGACCACCAGTCGTGAAAGAATGAGCGTCACAACCCCACGTTACGTCGCTTATCACTCCCCCCCCCCCCTTCCCCGCCAGGTGAGGTGGCCGGCGCGGTCGACGGGGACCCGTCCAGTACCGGCGGCGGCGGCGAGGTGCAGCGCAAACCGACTCCGTGGCGCCAGCTGCTCCCCGAGCCGTCCGAGGTGTCGGCGGTGCGCCGGAGTCGGCGACCGGCCAGCAACGGGCCCGTGCTGGTGGCAGCGCTGGTGGACCGGGCGCCCAACCTGGGCGGTCTCTGTCGCACGTGCGAGGTGCTCGGCGCCGCCCGGATGGTCATCTCCAGCCTGCAGCTGACCGCCGACAAGCAGTTCCAGAGTCTGAGCGTGTCCGCCGAGCGCTGGGTGCCACTGACGGAGGTGAAGCCCCACCAGCTGGCCGAGTACCTCTCCCAGCTGCGCTCAGCCGGATACACCCTCGTCGGTGTGGAGCAGACCTCCAACAGCGTGCCCGTCACCGCCTACCAGTTCCCGGAGCGGACCGCGCTGGTGCTCGGCAACGAGCGGGAGGGCATCCCGGTGGAGGTGATCCACCTGCTGGATGTCTGTGTGGAGATCCCGCAGTGTGGCGTGGTGCGGTCGCTGAACGTGCACGTGGCCGGTGCGCTGCTACTGTGGGAGTACCGGCGACAGCACCCCTGAGGAGGCCCGGAGCCGGAGCCGGAGCCGGAGCCGGAGCTGCGCTGAGTGAGTACCGATGGTGTTAGAGGGAGTGGTGGGAGGCGGCGAGTGGAGTTGTCTCCGAAACTCGCTCGCCGAGGAGAGACGGCGCTGCCGCCGTCAAAGGGGTGGGCTGGAGATTGCGCAGGTGTCTGGCTGTGCTGTTAGGTACTTTGGTAGTGGTATGGTTGTTCCGGAATAATTGTCCAAAGGCAAATCACAGGCTGCTGATGAGAAATATCCCCACAATCTTGTACTAACATGCGAACGGGGTACGCCTTCACCGACTCCGCCTTCGCTGTCTCTTCCTTTCACCAAGCTGTCTAACACTGAAGGCTGGAAGTCGTAGCAAATCTGCATTCTGCGAGAGCTGCAAATCTGGAACCCCTTTCTTTATTTTTGTGGTTCTGGAGGCCGATCACTATCGGCGCAGGGCCTGAGTTGATTTATTTGTGGGTGTTCGACTCTGCGTTTCGTCTGTGGGTCTGAGTTTTGTCTGTCCGGCTGCTGAGGTGTTGCTGTGACGGATCAGTGGAACTCTCCAGAACACTCTTACACTAACTATTTAATCGAGTTTGAATAATCAGGATATGGATCTCGATATGGGTGAAATTCAATGTTATTTTGGTGCCGGCATATCTCCACCTCCGCCAAAGAGCGCTGTCCATACAGGATCTTGTATTCTCCAATCTCTGGTAGATATCCGTCATGGATGATCGTCAGCCCATTACTAACAAACGTGTAAAATCTTTTCGCGGTGTTCTGAATCCCAGTCCATTGCCTAACAGAACGCCGTTCACCTCGACCTGCGGAAATAAAATCACTTTACAGAATACACCATTCACTCGACCGATTTAGCCTTCCACGCCATCTTTTCGCCTTACATACACCTACACCGTCTGGGCCAACCGATGTTTTATTTCCCGCCTCGTATAAGGATAGTTTAAGTTCGTAGAGGGTGAGCGGAGTGTTGTACGATTCGGAGTTTGTTAAAGAGAAGTCGAATTGCACTGTTTTCTCTGTTCAGCTCCGGTGTACATTTGAAGGGTAAATGTTGGAGGCAGATACGTCAGCGAAATGTTTTGCGAATCCGTTGGTGACAGTGATCCACGAAAACACCGTTGGAGAGCCGCTGTGGGAAGCATCTGAGCTGAGTTTTTCGAGTGGTGAAGGAGCGCACACTGGACCACAGCTCGCCCAGTGCATTGGGATGGATCTGTTGCATTTTGATGCACATTTTTCCCACACAACCTTCTTTTCTGCGTAAATGATTTTTGCGCATTCCTTTTGTGCAGCTGGGTAGAGCTGAGCATGCCTATCACAAATGCATTTTTGAAGTTTCTGAAAAGTGTCTTTTTGTCTTTGTGGAGTGTATTTTTCTTATAGCCTTTGCTCGTTGACATTTCCGATTCCACCATATGCTATTTTTGGGCAGATTTGGACTGCCCATCGTTTTTTCGCAATGTTTATATGGCTGACAATACCACTGCGTTCCTAAAACCAACCACAGCTTGAGACATACCATTTGACGCATTGTGGCTGGCGCAGATGCTGCGGCGGCGCCCGACGGGGAGGCAGTCAGTAACCTCTCGACCACCACGGTCAGCCGCTCTTCCCGTGCCGCAGATACCTCTGCTTGTCGAAGCAGTAGGGTAGAGAGCCCGCTCATTGTCTTTGTTAAGCAAATGATTAAGAAGTTAAATATTTAAAAGCCAAACACTGTGACATACCGTAAAACGGGGCGACTTTGGACAGTTTTGAGACTTATCAGTGAATATCTTGAAAACTACTGTAGATAGAAATGTGAAACATGGACTATTTTGTGGGCTGAGTCTGGCCTTATCCATCCATGGTGTCAACAAAAAATTAGGTATAGCCATTTCCCTATTTTTTAAAAAAATGTCTGGTGTTCAAAGTCACCACGCAATGGGGTGACTTTGAACAGTCTGTGTTTTTCATCATTTATCTCATTAGGTGTGCAATTTCTCGTGCCGGTTGGGGTGGCTTTGAACACCCTGATGCTTTTTAAAAAAGAGGCCAAAAACAATTTATACCTGCAAGAGTCCTTCTGGGGGTAGTAGTCAAAACAAGGCGAGCTCATCAAGCAAAAAACACAACTTCTTGTAACAGCCTCTGCTGATGAATTAAACACTATATTCACAGAAATTAGCACACAGACAGTGAGTAAAAAGAAGCATCTTTCATGGCAAACACCTTACTTACTCACCTTAACACTTGCACAGGCACTGTGGAGCAACACTCACAGGATATGAAATCACTCGATTCAACTCAACTCAAGTGTAATGCATGCACTCGACTAGGTCTGTGCATGAAATACACTTGAGAACACCTGAGTACAGAGTATCCTTGATACCCGACTTAACACCTTAATACTAACGTCTAACACTTAACACTAGGTACACCTGTTAGCGTCAGAACACGTCAGTCATGAGTTTACCCCAGCATCAGTTTATATGGTGAGAGCTCCTCACTCTTGAAGTGGAGCCTGCCCCTCCTGTACATGTCAGGCTGGCTTAGCTTGCACACCAGCTGGTCGATCTCTGTTACACCCTGTTACAATGTAACAGGGTGTTACAATGTTACACCCTGTTACGATCACTGTTACAATGTATGCAGTGTATTTTGGTAGGGCTACTTTGAACAACAAGTCTTTTGAACAACAAGTCAGGCATGCATGTCACCGGGGCTACATTGAACACGTTCAAAGTCACCCCAGCAAAATTCCAAAAATGTTATGTTTTTACAAATCCCTTCACAGCATTGGCCATGCTCAAGCAAGGTAAAAAATTATGATGGGGCAATGTAGGCCAACCATCGAGGATGGCAAAAATATGCCATTCCATTCCATGACCATAATGACTAGTCCATGCCATATGGAAGTTTACGAGTATATCTCAAAAAGCTAAAAACATTGAGTTAGTTTTTGATTTTTTACTCCTATGTACTAAGGTACATATATTCCAATATGTCATGTACATTTTCAAAAATGTGCATTCTTATCTGTAAAAAAACATGGCTGCATTTATAATTCACATTTTTATGATATTTACGATTCCCTCTAAGAAGTGAACGGCGTTCAAAGTCACCCGGAAGTTCAAAGCCACCCCAGTTTACGGTAAAGGAATCGGAACGAAAAAGTAACACAAAAATCCAGTCAAATAACCGACTCCTAAAACGGCGACAAAATCAGCACTTTTCCCCGCAACTCGCTGTCCAGACGAAAATACATTTTACATCAAGCCCTGTTATCATATACGTTGTGAAAAACAGTCAACGTATAAGAACATAAACGACATGTGACATACATGACAGTATGCACGTCTGCAACACCTTCGAACGTCTTTTGGTAAACACCGGTTCGGTGGCCCTGGTTTACCGACATAGCCACATAAATCGCCTGCCGCCACCAGACGGCCTCTGACAGGCGCTCCTTGGCCGAGTCTGGGAGCGGGTCGCTGACTCGACTCGAGTCTTGAGGACCTCCCTCTCGATACGTTTACGTGTCGGATGATCAAGTCGCTCCTCCGCCTGGTGTTTGGCCTGGGTCTTGCCATGTGCTTTTGTGAGCAGATGACGACACTCTTTTTACGAGGCTTGTGACCATGTCACCCGTCATGTCCAGCAGTGGCTGCCAATCCTGGCCATCTGTCATCTCGGCCAGATGTCCTTTGATGAAATTAAGGAACATTGTGACGGCATTGGTGGTCAGAGCGCCAGAGGCAGCGGGCACGTCATAGCGGTCGCGCATGACTCGGCGCATCTTTCGGCGATTTTCTGTGACGGCCACGAGCAGCCGCCATTCGACAAACTCGACATCCAGGGCACGTTCGAAAGAATGTAGTGCGTTCATCGTCGACTTTGACGGCTCGCACACCTCTTTGAATGTGGCATCGACGGAGAACAGCGCCATGGGCTGCGAGTGGAGGAGCAGAGAGCTGCGCAGCAGGTGCTCCTCGCGCGACTCCTTGGCACTGGCCGCTGTGGCCTGCGCCAGGCTCGAGCCGTGCCGCCTTTGCTCGGTCTCGACATCATCGTAGGCCGAGGGACGCAGGTGAATGGCCGCCCGCATGGCAATCTGACCACCTCTATGTACATTGTACATCTAGCGACGATGGACCGCCAGATGATGCCCCAAGTGGCTGGCGACTATATCCATCTCGTTCTCGCGTAGATTCTTTACCTGAGCTATCGTCGCAAGTATTTCCGCATATTGGTTGCTGTTATGGTCTTTCGGTCTTGGACGCCGGCCAGTTCGCAGAGCCTTTTTCAGTGTCTGCCACCCGCTGAGCCTTTTACCGTCAGCTTTTGTCCCGACGAGGTCCGCACACTGTTTGCCGGTCAGATCGATTGGCCACGCCTCATCCAGGACCATGGTCTGCGCCGAGTAACCCCAGTAGTCCACATGCAGTTGTCGAGTCATCAGACACAGCCACCCGGTCACTTCCACCTCCAATGGGGCGTGAACGACTGACCACGTCTCACTCAGAGGTGTTTCGGTCATGGCTGGAGCAGTGCGGTTCTCGACGGTGAGCAGGGAATGGGAGGAGATTAGAGCCGAGGCGAAACAGTCGTAGACTCTTATTCCTCGGTCCCGTACATCACCTCTTTCATAAGTTTCACGCTAGCGTGTGCCTCACTTTTGCGTTTTTTTTTGTTTTTTTTTTTGCTGCATAGGCCTTAAAGGCCGTCTCAGGACGGTGAGTCATGTGGTTTGCCACGCGCCGTCGCTCAACCTCATCTAGGGTGGAGTACGCTGCTGACGAGGCAGCCTTACGGAGCATCGTGGGGCCAAACTTTTTGACGCCGAACATTGAGCATATTTCGTCTATGTCATCTCATGGGTAGGATGACGGGAAGAGGGCAGGAAGCAGTAGGGTGGAGAGCCCGCTCAATGTGTGATTCATCACCTTCCGACCGCGCCATGTTATGATATATCGAATGTATTAGCGGCAGGCGATAACGCGTCCACTCGTACTCAGAGCCCGTAGGCGACTGCCGTCATTGCTGTATCCGTCCCGCGCCCGCTGGAAGTGGCGAATACTGGTCACACATCGGGCGGGTAGTTATAACACACAGCATTCGGTGTGCTCTTCAGTATTGATCTCCTGTAATATTTTAGAAGTCAGCTAATAAGCTCTTTTGATTTTACTTTATCTTGCTGATATTTGAGCAAGATCAGCTTGCGTTCATCCATTAACATTCCCTGACTTGATATTGCTCAGGGCCTCTTCAATGTTAGCCTCCTTGGTTGGTTACTTATGATTGTTTTCAGTTAACATGCTTTTTTAATTTGATATAAGTCACTGACAACTTGACAAGGGATTTCACACTTCCTACAAAGCCACTGTGCAAGGGTACGAAAACCATCAGGTGAATCTGAAGAGGGCCTTGGAACACAGCCAAG